AAATGCAGCACAAGACTTTTTTTGGAAGCTTTCTGGCATCTTTGTAGAATGTTCTCATTGAGGAGAAGCAAAAGCAAGAAAAAGATGACAAGTAGATGCAGCAGTGGAATGCAAAAGAGATTGAAATCTCTCAATTAAAAAAAATATTTTAGGTTTAGGCACTGATGAAGTAACCATGAAAAGTAAGCAGACATGTTTGTGTGAATCCCACAAAACTAAGACTTAGCATGAGCTCATAAATAAGGATAAAATTTCCAGTACTAATACTAGTTATTGTACAAGAATTGTACTGTGAACTGGTTTTTAGCTTTCCTTATCTCATTCTGTAAAAGTTTTCACTGATATTTCTTCTGAGAAAAATAATCTAACTCATGCCAGAAATGCAAAAGCAAGACATATAAACAAATAATACCTGGGATCCCCATTCTCTTCACACACAGTTATTTACACAGACAAAAAAAACTGCAGATAGATACAACCATTTAACCAAGAAAAGAATCTGAATTACTGGATCCATCCAAACCTCATTTTCATTTTTACTCCAATAATTAACAATTTAAAGAAAATATAACTAATATACAGCATATTCTTTAGGCTCACCTTTTATACCACAATACTATAATCCAACACTTTCCCTTTTCTCCTCTTCACTTAAGTGATAATAGTCTACCCTTGACAAAAAAAAAACAAACAAACCAAAACCAAACACAGATTTTGCATCCTATTAAGACCATCTATGTGAGTCCTTAACTCTAAACAAACGAGTGAAAAAATAAGATAACATATTCCTAGCAACAGTTAAAACGTAAGTAGTGCTTTTTGCCAAGTCTGAATGTCTTTTACAGAGTCCTCTTTGAATTTTTTCTAACTCAGTTTTATGAATGGGAATAAATAAATAAATACAGAAATAAATTATTTTTCAAAGGTCATGCAGAAAGAAAGAATGGATTAGCCCATGGTTTAAGCACCAGATTAGATCTTAAACCATGGTGACTCTGCCACTAAGCCTCTTGTGCAGCCTTGCACCAGACAGTTAATATCATTTTATTTTCTGCAGATAGGATTAAAAAAAACAAGACCAGCATGTAAGATCTGGGAGGTACTGCAACCACATGACAGAAGCAGAAAAGCCAAGAATAAAATTGATGCTTTTGACTCACACCCATCTATTTTAGAGACAAGACTCTCCCCTTGGATAAGCATAACCATGTAGTTCAAAATACAGGATGCCTCCAGAAATACTAGCACATTAAGATAGCACATTAAGAGAAAAGCATGTTAAATAAAAACCAGCAACAATTTCTGAAAGAGAAATTCATACAGCCTTACACTTTTCTAAACAGTTTTCTTACATTCTCATAATCATTAAAATGTATAAAAATGATTATTTCCAAAACAGCACTACCATGAATTATCACCACCCCTGTTGCCTAGCAACTAGACTAATTTTTGAACAGCAAGCCATATAAACCAGTATCTGGAGTTTGTGTAAATGGGTATTCATCTGAGGGTTTAAAACACATTCATCTTGGAAATCAGTAGCAGATAATGCAGCACTAACGTAAAGCTGAAATGCTCTTAAAAAAATAAAATGGCACTAACAATTACTGCAGCTTAGCAAAACCCTCCTCCTGTAGGAGACATGAGCCATGTCATATTTGGTCAGGGCAGGAGCTGACTCCCTTGCTCTTCCTTGGACTTGTAATTTTTTGTAATTGGACTTTCCAATTTTTATGAAAGATATTTGACACTCCTGCAGAGAAAATAATTCTTGCCCAGTCTTTTGAGGGATTTGCTCATAACCCAAGAGCAAAAGAAACTGGTGACATAATGGCAATGTATTGACATCAAATTAAAGCTTCTATTTTTATATAGCATACTGAACTGGAAGAACTCACTGGTTCATACCGTGACAGAATGATGTGCTTAGTAAGGTTCAAAATAGGTCTGGACATTAATAGTGACAACAGGCTAACCCACTGAGATATTAGAGAGAGATTATAAGTACATATATTAAAGACACAAACTCCCAGAAATCGCAGCCTAGTCTCTCATTAGCTGCATGTGGTTGCCCATTATAGGGATTCTTGCCCATTTTTCAGGCCCATGTGGAATTTAACTTGAATGCAGGACAAGATCCCAAATCATATCAACCTAAATTGTTTGATGTCTGAGGATTTCTACATTACTTTCTTACAACTTTAGCAGACAAGTTCCTGCTAAAGCCAGAGTCAATCTGTATTTCTATTCTCAAAATGGGGAGAGGTTGGTGTTGTGGGGAGGGGAGGTCTTGTGGGGGTGTTCACAAGGGGGAAAGACTCCAACTTACTTAATTCCAAGGCTTAGCCTTATTGGGGGGGGGCGGGGAGGGAGAAAGGGGAAAGCCAAGTGTGCTGAAGAGCAGTAGATGTTTTTCATAGAATCTGCAGGCAGAGAGGAAAACACATCCCTGGCATAAACACACACCCCACTGAAGGCAATGCAGTAGCATCTGCTTATACCAGCTATGAATCTGAGCAGGCTTTTCCCTACGACTGCTACCTGTGGAGATAAAGCTGGATACAGCACTGAAGGGAGTTTAAGAGCCTGCAGCTTCTCAGAGTTTAGAGAACCAAATTTCTGCAGTAAGAGAAAACCTGATGTCTACAAAATTGTGAGTTTCTGGGCTCCCAGGAAGCCATGCAGTACCTACTGACAGGCTGTCATAACATACTTAATGGCTGTTTAATAGCTCAGATAAAGAAATGAAGCTCCATTTTGTCTGCTGCTCTGTGGAAATTTGCTGCGACCACACACACAATGTGCAGTGCTGCCACATAAGAAAATAGTTCTGTTGTTTTCCTTTGGTCCCACTCAAAAAAAGGCAGTTAACAACATTTTATTTTTATCCTTAATAATGAAAGAGAACACCCCTAAAGAAAGAAAATTATCTCAGCTAGATAGGCTAGCTTCTGCTCTAAACAAGAGGTGCTACTGAACACACATCAGATCAGTCCATAGGATGCTCAGCCTCTTCTAAAATGGAGCACACCACCACCCCACTGCCTTCCTCTCCTCTCCTTTCCACCGAGAAGCAGCACACACCTGTACTGCTGGATCACTGAGTAAATTGTATTTGTGCTCTTATTTCCATTGCTCATTAATAGATCACATTTGGGAAAAAATGCTTTTTGCACTCTTCTTAGCAAGAAGTAGACACAAATTTCTCCAAAATATTCCAATATGCTTTCAAATTACATTTTAGAAGTCCTCCTTAGCAACAGAGATGTTACATCTGATTTACAGATGACTATATTTATACCTCATACTGCCTGCTCTGATAGAAGCGAATTCAAGAGGAGATGCTGGCCTGAAGAGAGCTTTTCTTTTCTTTCAACAGTACAGAAACATTGATGAGGAAGTGTGCTGGCACCTCTGGCTGTGTAAGTTCAGAAGTGCAACAGCTGGGAAAAACAAAGGAAAGTTTGGTAGTGCAGCAAGTAGAAGACATGTTTGGTAATGCTCTTCTCCCAGTCAGGCATTGCCAGGGAAGAGAGCTATTGTATTTGGTAACTATTCCTTGTATGTTTAGTGGTAGCCTAGGGAGCATCATTAATGCCATTTTTCTGTTCCTATATTTTGCCTTCCC